ATATACCTTCTTTTTCCACTACATGGTCACACTGAAGATAGGACTGACTTCTCCCTCACAACCAACTGCACACACATGCATGCACAAACGCACACACACACACACACATGCGTGCATGCGCGCACACAAAAATGTCTCTCTATATCTTATCCTAAAACCTTACATAGTGCCTGGCTCATGGTAGAAACTCAATAAGTATTTATAGAATTAATCATAAACAATAAAGGAATTTAAAAGTTAACACATATAGAGTTCCCCAAAAGCAAGGACAGTTTCATAAGAATAGTGGTTAATAAATGTTTGCAAAACTTAGTTAAGTGATTTTTTTCCATCCATGTGCTACTTTTAAGGCTTCAAAGCCTTAGGATGATCATTCTGGAACACATGAAAGGTGGCTGAGACATAAGGTGAGCAGGCTCTGGCTACATGGTCTAGATAAAAGAAACAGGACCCTGAGTAACAAGCTGAATGGCGTGATACTGCAGAATATCAACCAAAACAGATTAGAAATGGCAGAAGAGAAGGAGGAGTCAGGATAGCAGATGTCATAGACTCCCCAGAGTTGCTAGTCTTTTTTTTTTTCTAATTTTTTAAAAATTGATTTCAGAGAGTAAGGGGAAGGGAGAGAGAAATAGAAGCATCAGTGATGAGAGAGAATCATTGATTGGCTGCCTCCTGCACACCCGACACTGGGGATCAAGCCCGCAACCCAGGCATGTGCCCTTGACCAGAATCAAACCTGGTACCCTTCAGTCCGCAGGCCAACGCTCTGTCCACCAAGCAAAAACAGCTAGGGAGGGCACTAGTCTTATTTTTAAAAGTGGAACTAAAGCAGATAAATAAACAACTTGTACATTTCCCTGTATACTTAAGATCAAAAGGTAAATAATGTAAAGTGAAAAAATATATATTTTCTATTCTGATAATTTTTCCCCTCGATATCCTCTCCCCTTCTGTATGGCAAACTCCTGCCATAATTCCACTCCCATCACCCAGCCAGCTTTGCATTCGCCCTTGCAATCAAATTGGGTTTTCCCAAAGAGCTTTTCATGATCTCACTTGGAGTAAAGTGCCCCCAGTGTGCCCCCACTTTAATTTATCTTTCTCATGGTGTGTTGAACGTGTCCTTACAGCTCTGCAGCTCCCGTTAGACCCTGCCCTCCTTACCTCTGTTTCCAGCACCTGAGACAGGCCTTTGCTTACATGTTTTTAAATAAAAATGCTAGAGCTTAGTTAAAATCTAAATGCGTAATATATGAAAATAGCCTTCTTTGTTACTTATGAATAATGGAAGCCTAAAATGGTATGAAATTGTGCCTAGATTTTATTAAAATTTCCTTTCTATTTCAGAAGTCAAAGAAATATCAGCTTTTTATTGCAAGTGGTCCTGTAATTGATCTGAAAGACAAGGATTCATTTTCACAGCGCTGGCCTGAAAAGTTCTCTAATGAAGAGAACTGAGTACAAGTTGCCCTGCGGCATGATAATCTTGACAGCAGAGGTAGAAAATCTGAGGACAATTTGATTTTCTTTTCAGGAGAGAAAAGAAACAGTTGCCTGAGTATACATTTCTTTTTACACTCCAAGCTCTTTTTGTTGCCTGTGAGAGCTGAGGAAATTACACTTTGAGAAGTGAACTTTAGAATGCTGTGTAGAGGGTCATAGAATGAGTGGAGAGCATGCAATTGAAAAACAAATTTCTGACTTAATGTGTAAGATAGTTTCCTAAAAGACTTTTTGAAAGTTCCCTTAAAAAAGGAAAAGGAGAAAGTATTTGAAGTTTTTATTCTTGGCTTTTAGCACAAAAGTATCTTTGTTCCATTTACCAGTTGTTTTGTGGTACCTGAAGGATGTAGCTTTGAATTCTTAGGTTCTTTAGTGGAAGATTAAAGTAAAGCATTTGTTCCTCTTTAATTCCTTTTTTTATGTGTGATAGACAAGATATTTTACACAAGCCGTTAATTCTCTGTGGTCATAAAAGAGCAATTTAATCTTATCTGTAATTTTATAGAAATAGAATATAGTCAAGAAAAAAAACCAACAACAACAAAAAATATGGTTGCCTGAGTCAAACGTACAGGGTTGGGTGGAGAATGATAGAAGATGAAGTTGCATATCATGGATAGCCTCTTATGATCAGCAAGGATGATTCTCACCATTTTGTGGCATGCTTGCATTTATGTTTTTAGATTAAATGAGTCATTCTGTTGGGTCATTATATTAAGCCATTCTAAATAGGCAGTTTGGAAGATGAGACGAAAACCAGTCATTGAAGTCACCCAGGATGATGGTCAGACCTAGAGAGATCAAACCAAGTGTAGAAGTTTTCATAAACATAAGGGACTGAACAGAATTTTGGTAGATGACGTAAGGGGCAGATGCAGGAGTTTAGTCTGGCAAAGTTTTGTTGAGCCATTTGAATTCTGACCTTGTCTCAACTCTGTGGTGGTGGAGTCAGCAGCCTCCACTTGAAAGGAATGCAGGGCAAATGGTGTCTTTGTGGGAGAGCCAAGTTTCAGTTCAGTAAGATGTACAGGATGCATTTAATGAAGAGGTTACCATGGAACAGAGTCTACAGAATTGTATGTCAGTTAATATTTTTCAAAGCCTTTTGCTTGTAACTCTTACTGTACAGTTTTTCCTTTTATTATACCTCCACCACTGAGATTGATTTACTCATTGAAGTAATATCTATGAACACCTATTATGCCAGACTTAGTGCTAGATATCAAAGTGTAGAGTGTTGAGTATGTTAAGTTCTTGAAATACGGACAGGATGTGTAGCAATCATGTTAGGTATAATTAGAATTGTGTGGAGTATTTGGGAATAGGTGGATATCCTAGTTTTTTTAGGGAAATTTCAGAGCCTTTGCAAGTAGAACTAAGCCTGTTCATTGAATTAAAGAAAGAAGAAAATTGGTCGAAATAGCAATCTATTCTGTAGATGTCAAAAACTTCCTTTCATAGTCTCCCATTAAAATAGGACACATATGCATGACAAGATCCCTACGATGGATTTCTCATTTGCGATAAGAGAACAAGGGAGGTCTCAACCTCCCAGGCATTCTAATTTGGGACCTAGGCTAATAAGTTACCTTTTTTGAAAGGTATTTATTCACTTATTTGGCATATTTTTGCTGAGTGTGTCAGCATTGTACTGTATGCTAAGAATATAACAGAAAACAAGATAGATGGGGAGTCTTGGTCTCATGGAGTTTATCATCTATAAAAATAGTCATTATAGAGAACTTATTCTGTGCCAGGCATTGTGCTAGGTACTTACATGTATCCTCTATAACCTCTGACAACCCTTCTAGATACAGAATAATGTCCAATTTTATAAATGAAAAAATCGGGACCAGGGAGGTTGGCATTAGCCAGCCTCAGCATTCCCAGGACAAGCTGGTGTGAAGCACAGGCAGCACACCTGCCACCTCTATGCCTCCCGCAGATGCTGACGGCCACTGTCCGGCAGCGTCTTGTCAGGTGTTAATGTGGGAGCAGAAAAGAAACGAAGCCCAGTTTTCAGGGAGAAAACAGTACATCGGATGACAAAATTAACACTAAAACTCCGGTAGAAAAATGAGTAAAGGAAAAGAACAAGTCACATTAAAAAAATAATAATTCAAATAGCTAATGCAAAACATTCAATTTCACTTGCCAACAAATAAATGAGAATTGAAATAATGAGCCATAGCCAGTTTGGCTCAGTGGATAGAGTGTAAGCCTGCAGACTGGGTTCAATTCCGGTCAAGGGCACATGCCTGGATTGAGGGCTCGATCCCCAGTGTGGGGTGTGCAGGAGGCAGCCGATCAATGATTCTCTCTCATCATTGATGTTTCTATTTCTCTCCCTCTCTCTTCCTCTCTGAAATCAATAAAAATATATTTTAAAAAAAGAAATAATGCGATACTGTTATCACCTATTCAAGTAAAGCATGTATTTTTATGGTAATATTCAGTATATGAGTGAAGTGGTCTCTCAGGTATTAATATTAGAAGCATACTAAGTATCCATTCTGGAAAACAGTATTTTTCAAGAACCTTAAAATGTTTATACCTTTAACCATGTAGTTACATTTCTAGGTGTCTGTCCTCAGGGAAGAGCTAGAAATTCAGATCACATTGTTTTCAAAAATGTTTGTCACATTGTTTGTATTAGGGAAAATTTGAAAATAAATTACAACCAATGTAGATGACATAATGTTATACTATCATTAAAAAGCATTATTTTATAGCTCATTTGATTGATATAGAAAATGTTTTCAAGAAACTTTAAAAAACAGTATAAAACTATATGTAATACCACAATTGTGTAAAAGACGGTAGGTATATGTGTACATGTATAAATACATTAATTCAGAATACATTAATAAACTAGAAAGAATAAAAATATTAAGAATCACTATTTATATTTATAACTGCACATTATTTCCAAATTCTCTAAAATGAGTTTCTATTACATGTATGATTTTTTTTATAAAGAAAAAAATTGTTTTTACCTTCTTTGTTTGACAAGTATATGTGGAATAGAACATGAGGTAAAATAGAAATTGTCAAGAAGTGATTCCAGCCCTACCTCGTTTGCTCAGTGGATAGAGAGAGCATTGGCCTGCGGACTTAAGGGTCCCAGGTTCAATTCCAGTCAAGGGCATATGCCCAAGTTGCGGGCTTGATCCCCAGTATGGGGCATGCAGGAGGCAACCAATCAATGTTTCTCTCTCATCATTGATTTTTCTACCTCTCCCTTCCTCTCTGAAATCAATAAAAATATATTTTTTTAAAAAGAAGTGATTCCAACTCAATTTTCAAGACTGTTCTTAGAAAAAACATATTCTGTTCCCTAATTAAACAATAATAAAAGCAAAAATCATGATATTTCTTTGACTCGTTTTATATTAAGGTTAATATGAGATCAAATTTATATAATTTAAGTTCTAGATATTTCAGTCATCCAGTTTCAAAATACTGATGTAACAGTAGTACTTATGTCTTTATAGGTTTTACAACTGCCTACAACATGCTTTGGAAAGAGAAAGTATTACTGACTTAAATCCCAAAGAGAAAATCATCAAGAAAAGTAATTCATATTCTCATAAGAAAAAAAGAAACCGAGAAAAAGCAGATGGCAAATGTGTTACTGAAGACAATGATAAAGAACTTGAAAATGATGATGATCCTGGAGTCAATGTAACTATCTTCCCTGAAGATTACTGAGATTTGGTTCTACAGTGTCTTTGGTGGAATAATGTTTCTAATAATTATTACAAAGCTGCTCTTTATAAGAGTATTTTAGTTTATTGAGTGTATCAGACATTCAGAAAAGCAAAATTTAATTTTTCTCTATATTTTAGAGACACCTATCTTATAAACATAGATGCCTTTTTAAAATAGCTATGTATAGTATTTGTTCATTAAGTACCATCTTTTAAATCACTGAAATTCATTACAATAATAAAATTATGATTGTTAATACATCTCCTCTTTTAAGTTTTAATTTCTACTTCTGTAAAACAACTATCATACCCTTTCAAGAGAACCTGAACATTTGGAATATTTGAATAAAAATTATAGCAATGTTTAACTTATTTTTAACATTTATTACACCTCAGAATCATCTGTAGATTATGAAAAAATACAGAAAGGAACTGAGAATCTCCAGGGACAGTTGGCATGTGTATTTTTTTTAAAGCTCTCAAGTGCTTTAATTGTCAACTACAGGCTGACAACCCCGTGAGCATTCCCAGCTTTCTGTTCAAGCCATCTCATCCATTCCATCAGCCTTCACTTCTCTAGCACTCCCAGCTCTCCTGCCTGCCCAGACTCTTATGCCCGGCTAACTGCTGAGCCCCTTCAGTAGAGCTGTTACTTGATGGAAGTTTTTGTTCCTTTCCTGGTTCTTTGGCTAGAGAGAGCAGGCCTTTATTGACTTTTTCTTCTTTTTTCTGAGCCCATTGGCATTTCTGGTTGCTGGCTTTTCCAGTGCTGGGGGTATGCAAGGCAAAAGGAAAACCCAGTGAACTCACTCTGTTGCTCTTCAGGTCCTGTGAACTCCAGCTGGTCCTCCCTCTCCAGCTTTTAGAGTCATCTTCATGACACTTAGTGGAAAGAACAGGAAAAAGTATATATACACCATCTTCCCAGAATCAGAAGTCTATGTTAAATTACTGCTAGTATCATGTCAGGTTATGGTTGAGGACTCTGGTACCCAGCCACATAGCCACAGATTCCTTTATTCAATGCTGCTCCCATCTCCCAGCTGGCCTGCTTGGCTGCTCTGGCTTTAGGCTGCTGGAGCCTCCACCCTAAAACAGAAGGAAGTGCCTAGAAGTCTGTTTGCTGTCCCCCTGCCCTGACACCCACCACCGCACAGCCAATAATGACAAAGGCTGCACATGGTGACTTCATTGCCTAGAAAGGGGATGAACTTGGATGTGCAATTGCCATCTGAGCTTCGAGTGGCATCAGGCTGAGGCTGGGACTTCACCCGAATCCTATCACATGTTTTCTACTCCCTGATTCACTTCTGGGAGCTCCTGATTAATCCATCACTTGCAGTGGTGTCTTCTGGAAGAACATGACCTAACACAGGTGTTGACATTATGTTGGATGTATTTTAAAAAGTGATGGCATATACTTATTTGAAAGAGTTGCTGTTTTAATATGCTAGAATTTATATTTTTGGTATTTAGACACGCTGTAAACATGATGCAAATTTATGATGTTAAGCACATGATTTTAAAAATTCTTTTGGGGCAGTAACTATTGAGGTTCACTTTTATAATACATCTACACTAATAAAAGAGAAACATGGTAATTAGCGTACGACCCCTACCCTTTTCATTGGCTAATCAGTGAGTATATGCAAATTAACTGTCAGCCAAGATGGCGGCCGGCAGCCAGGCAGCTGGAAGCGAACATGAGGCTTGCTTGCTTCAGTGAAGGAGGACTCCAACATTCCCTGCCTGCCTTGCCGGCCTCTGAGCTGGCAGTTTGAAACTTTGTAACAAATATAGAAGCTAAACAAAACCCCAGAAA